AGTAGGCAGGAAACAAATCTGGGCATGCCAAGAGTGGGCCCTATAAGCCCCCTGGTCCACTCTGGGGGGTCCTGCATGAGCTGGTGGTCACCCGGGCAGTGGTGGCTATAGCAGCAGCAGTGACATCCATCCTGAGCAGCCACACTCAGCCAGAAAAGGGTGTGTGGGCTTGTCCTGGGGCTAAGCCCCCACCCCTTAGAATGGAGCTCAGAGAGGGCCGGCCGAGGAGTCTGCTTACTTCTTGACCTGACTCTGCCACCTGCTTGTTGGGTGACCTTGGATAAGTTCCTCACCCTACCTGTGATTCCGTATCCCTAGTCGTACAATAAAGGAACTGGATACAGAGTCCCTTCCACTCTGAGGTTTTATGTTCTAAGTCTGAGCTGCTTTCTGCCCAAGGTTCTTCAGCCCAGACATTCTAGAGGACTGACCCACACATCTCAACCTAACCTGCTCTGGGGTTTCAGGCTGAGGGCCAGGGCACTGTAGTAAAGGCCACGACAGTTTGGAAGCAGGGAGGATCAGCATCTGAACATTCAGGCAGGTTCCAGGGGGACAGGATCCTCACTGTACATTCTCTGAGCCAACCAGATCCCAGCAAAGCTGGGCACACATATTTAGGGTCAGGTTGCCTCTGGTTTCTCTCCTCTCCTCTCTTTTCTCAGGAAAGAATAGTTACCATCTAGAGCAAGAATGGGGTCGCATAGAACAAATCATGAAATTAATCTTGTTCTTTCTTTTTACAGGGTCTCTGGTCCCAAGAGACACCATGGGTACTGTGGTTCCAGGGAAACCAAAGGGGGCTTAACACCCAGTCACTCATTGGAGCCTCCCATCTTGTGATTCTCCCATGCATGGTCTTCAGTGGAGGAGGTTCAACCTCAGGGAAACTTCCCCACTGTTTTGAGGTTCCAAGGACGTGGCCATGTCCCAGGGGAGAGCTCTAAATTAATATACCAAGGCCCTATCCCACCCATCCACAAGCAAGACAATATGGCTTTTCCAGGTGCCTTCGGCTTTGAAGATGACTTGGGTGGGTCCTGCCGTGGTTAGAGTCTCTCCTTGGAGCCAGTTGTCCACAGGTTAAAGCAGATAAGATCAAGAGCACAGGTCCTGCCCGGACAGCTTAGCTCTGGGAAATCCTCCACTCTGGACAGAACACTGCATCTGTCTCACCCCAGACTGGCTTTGTATTAATAAATATGAACAAGAGCAAATCCAAGTCAGAACTATAGTAAGATACAATTTTTCACCTATCAGATTGGCAAAAATTCAAGAAAAAGAATCTGATAGCATACTTTGTTAGCTGGGCTGTGGGGAAATCCTGACAATCATCCTTTGCTGCAGTAGGCTTAATTGTTACAATCTCTGGAGAACAATTTGACAATATGTATCAAGGTTACAAAAGCACATACCCTTTGACCAATAATTCCAGGTCTGGGAATTGATGCTACAGATATACCTAGTACGTGTGAAATGACGCATGTACAAGATTATTCGCTGCCTCATTGTTTGTGAAGGCTAAAGATGGAAATGATCTAACTCAACAAAGGACTGGTTGAACAAATGACAGATCAGCCACTCAATAGAATACTTTGCAGCTGCAAAGCAGAAGTGGGGGGCATTAAGGCATTCTTTAGGTAGCTTTATCTTGAATTAAACTGAAGAGACCAGATACGGAACCATAGGTAAAGTAGACTACATTTTGTGGAGGAGAGAGGGGGAAATATGAATAAAACTTTAAAATTCATGCCTTCCCTCCTGGAGAGAGCATAACAACTCAAGAGGGTTAGAACCAACTTGGCCTGTTCAGATCTTCACCTTGGATTGAAGAGTAACGGAGGCAATAGGAGAAAGTCAAGAGCTCTGGACGTTGGCTATCACGGATCAGGGGATGGCACTGCTAGACCCTAGCTGGAATTAGTCCTGTCCTGGGTCCTCCCCCACACCCCCCAGAGCCTTCTCACCTACAAGCTAACCTCAGGAAATGAATTTGCTGCACACTGCCCATGGCCTCATTAGGGTCAATTGTCCTGGGCCAATGAGGAAAGAGCAGAGGCGGGGCTTAGTATGTTAATGAGTCATTGTGTCTAGTACAAGCAAACCCTAGCGCCCCTAGGAACCCCTTCAACAGAACAAACATTCTGGTGCTGTCACTCTTCACATTGCAAATGATGATTTGGTTTCAGCACTAAGGTGTATATCCTCCCTTTGAAATTGATCACTTGTATTCTTTTCTTTGTATTTGAACTGCAAACTGATTTCCGTTTTTGAGTCCCGTACAAGGGGCTCAGCGGCAAAGAATCTGCCTGCCAATGCAGGAGACTTGGATTCCATCCCTGGGTGGGGAAGATCCGCTGGAGAAGGAAACTCACACCTGTATTCTTGCCTGGGAAATCCCATGGACAGAGGAGCCAGGCGGGCTACTGTCCATGGGGTCACAAAGAGTCAGACGCAACTTAGTGACTAACAACAAAAGCTGCTAGTGAAAGCTGCTTTATATCTTGTTGTGTGTCTACATATCTCTAAGCAAACCTGATTGGAGTTTATACTGGGGTCCCCTAAGGATATTTTCCCCTTGAAGTGAAGTCCTAGTTGGGGGGTTATCCTCTTGGGAACACAGTAGATGTTTAGAAAATGTTTGCTGAAATAATAATCTAACTTAAGTAGGAATCTCAGATGGAAGCCAGAAGTTCTTGCCAACCCCTCCCCCACTGCCGCCCCCCCCCCCCACACACACACTGGTCACAGTTGGTGAGGAGGCTAGGCCTTCATCAAGGAGAAGCAGGTGCCCATACCTGGCCTGCACCTTCCAGGCACCTGCCCGGGGTCTCCAGTTTTCAGCCTGATCTGCTGGAGGTGCAGACCAGGGCAGACCGATGACAACAAGGGGCGTGGTCCCCCCAAGTCGATTGGAGCACGTTCCTGAGATAGGGATGCGATGGCAGGAATGTGAGGGGCCAGAGGCAGTGATGGACCATGCCAGCCCAAGAGCTGAACAAATATTGACGCTAAGCAGGGCGGCCTCTTGAAAGCCCTCTATGGGATGCCTCTCGCTGTTCTCCTATCTCCAGCCACCCTTACCCAGTGCCTCCAGCTGCGGGGGAAGGGAATACAGGGGAGAGTACCGCTCTCCCTTTGGGACCCAAGGCCCAGAGATCCTGGACAGGCACACCATGTGGGCCTCGCTGGTCCTGGCATGAGGTTCCAGGAGCTTCCAGGCCTGGGTCTCCTGGTCCTCTGGGCTCTCCAGCCTGGATGTGGGTGGCACCTGGAGCAGGATGTGGCTTCCCTGGAGCTGGGCTGCCCTTCAAATGCCCCATGGAGGCCCTTGTCCCAAGGCGTTCTTTAAAAAAGAAACCCACTACAGGCCACATGGACCACTGTGTAGCAGTCAACTGCCTTCCTAATTACTACTACTAAGGAACAATTATTAAGAACCTCCTGTGTACCAGGCACTAAATGCTTTACATGTATTAATTCATCTATTCCTCACAACAAGCTTAAGAAATGGGTATTTTTTTTCTTATCCCCATTTTACGGAAGCACCAAGGCACAGGGAGAATGAGGAATGCCACATGGAGAAAGGTCTGTCAGAGATTCATCAGGCCGGTTGGTCTGTGAACGCAGAAATGTGGAGACGGAAGGTACTTTAAGAAGGCTGGGTATCTGCTTCCTTTTATAGATGTGGAGACTGAGACCTTGAAGGGGGAATGACTTGCACAAAGTTACTCGAGGCTATAGAGCAAAGGCACCTAATGAAAGCTGCTGCTGACTGGCCGACATTCCTAGGAAGCCAACCGCTGAGCACTAGGGTTACCTGAGGTCTTGTCTTCCAAGAATCCCAAATGCTTTGTTTTCTTTTCCTGCAGGCCTGATACACTGCGTAAACACCCCACCCCACCCCCAGCCCCTGTCCCCACTGGATCTCTTTCCCCTCTCCCACCTCATTCATCCTCACCCTGATGCTTTCTCACATCGCCCCAGCAAATATCTTTCCAGGTTCCAGTCTCTGGGCTCTCTATTCTGTGGCTTCTCCCGTATGTTTTGGAAAAACCTCTATTGTCCTCCATGAGGGCATTGGGCTGGCTGAATCGCAGGATCACACCCCTCTCTACCTCTGAGATGCTAGGAATCTCAAACTTTACTTCTGTGTTTGACAGAGTGGCTTCTGTCTCCACTTGGACCCTGATTGGACCCTGCAGGGAGCTGGGGTCTGCTCTCAGTTTCAGAACCAGGTTGGGAGAAGGTCAAACATACAGACAGGAAATGAATACCAGCATTCTGGTTGTGATACTGTAGTATAGGTTTGCAAGATGTTACCATTGGGGAAAACTGGGTAAAGGGTACATAGGATCTCTCAGTATTACTTCCTGTTGTTCAGTCACTCAGCTGTGTCTGACTCTGGGACCCCATGGACTGCAACATGCCAGGCTTCACTGTCCCTCAGCATCTCCCGGAGTTTGCTCGAACTCATGTCCATTGAGTCAATGATGTTATCCAACCATCTCAGTCACCTCCTTCTCCTCCTGCCCTCAATCTTTCCCAGCATCCCTGTGTCTCTTCCAATGAGTCAGGTCTTCTCCAATGAGCTGGCTCTTTGCATCAGGTGGCCAAAGTATTGGAGTTTCAACCTCAGCATCAGTCCTTCCAATGCATATTCAGGGTTAATATCCTTTAGGATTGACGGGCCTGATCTCCTTGCTGTCCAAGGGACTCTCAAGAGTCTTCTCCAGGACCACAGTTCGAAAGCATGTATTCTTCAGCACTCAGCCTCCTTTATGATCCAACTCTCATATTCATACATGACTACTGGAAAAACCATAGCTTTGACTATTTGTTGGCAAAGTGGTATCCGCTTTTTAATCCATTGTCTAGGTTTGTCATACCTTTTCTTCCAAGGAGCAAGCATCCTTTAATTTCATGGCCACAGTCACTGTCTGCAGTGATTTGGGAGCCCAAGAAAATAAAGTCTGTCACTGTTTCCATTGTTTCCCCATCTATTTGCCACGAAGTGTAACTGCACATAAATCTGCAATTTTAGTTAAAATACAAGTGTATTAAATCATGCATACATGTGCACAAGTGCCTCAATTCCTGGCAGGCTGCATGCCCAGCTTCACAGAGATTACCCCTGGGAGATGGATGAGTGCCTCTAAGGGTCAGGGGATGGTGAAGACAGGGCTCTTTCCATTTTATTCCCCTATGAATAGTGTGAAGATAAATTTCTTAACATATTTTGCTTTTCTAATGAAAGGAAACAAGTTAATACAATTTTTTAAATTAAAAAAAAAAAGAATGGGGACAGGAAGACAGGAAGGGTGGGGAGCTAGGAGAGGAATATTCAAGAAGGAATTCACCCAGTCTCCCAATCAGATTTCATCATTCTATCAGCACAGGGTAAGCCAGCCTCCAAGGCCTGGGTTGGACCCCCTAAGATTGCTCTGCTGGTGGGAAAAAGAGAAGGCAAACTGGGATGGTGGGGGGCGGGGTGCAGCCTGCAGCTCCCTGGCTTCTGAGCCTGGTCTCCCCTCAAGGATGCCAAGGAAACCTGGCTGGGGATGAGGATGGGATCCTCCAGCTCTCCAGAAGGGCAGCGCCTTCTGCTCAGAAGGAAACACAGCCTGTGCGTATGTGTGCCCTGGCCTGCCTCGCCCCAGGCTGACCCTTGCCTCCCAGTTCAGTGACCTCTGGAACTTCAAGAACCCTCAGGAAGCCTCCCACTTCTCTGTCTATCTCCAGGTCAAAATCACTGACCGAGATCCCCAAGCAGGGAGAAGCCTCCTGGGCCCTCCACTCAGCTCTCACTGCCCACACGCCCCTTTTCCAGTACGAAAAGGGCAGGGCAGCACCCCCTCAGAGCCCCCCACAGACCGGCAGGCATCCCACCCTCACCCCAGGTCCGCCCAGGGCTGTGTGAGAGCTGCTGTAGAGTCTGCATCTCGTAGGGGAAGCTTTCAAAGAGGCACCGGGCTGCCCCGGGCTGCCAGGACATGCATTCCCAGGGTCCAGGAGAGACAAGGTGAGAGAAGATGATGCCCAGACACCTTCTGGGGACCAGGGACCAGCGCTCAGAGCAAAGCAATCCAGTGTTGATACAATGAGGGGGCTGGGAACCAAGGAGGTGCCTTGGGGCGGAGAGGGTGAGCCAGGACCAGAGCATAAGTGGGTGCTTCAGAGCACAGAGGAATCCCTCCGCTTCTTCCACCCCATGCAGATGAACTGGGCTTGAGAACTCCCTGAGGGCGGAGCTGTGTCTCCCCGGTCAGACTGGGGTCCCGTGAGGACAGGGCTGTGTCTTCCCCTCAGATTGGGGTTGTCTGAGTTTTTCTTCCTCATCATACCAGAAGTTTCTAGAACAGGGACTAGGAGCCAAGGATAGAAGTGAAAGAAGGCCAATTCCAAGCCATGACCAGAAAGAACTCACTTTTTTAAAAAATTTATTAATAAATGATCTTTATGGAAAATAAAGCCCACACACATTCTGGATATCAAAAATTTTTCAGCTTGGTCATCAATCTCACCTACTCTGAGAAACCTATCTCTATGTACCCTCAGGAAAAAAGGAACAGTTCTAATTTCATCTCACTTGCTTTTAAATGAGACAATACAATACCTCCAGATGGTTCTCATATCAAGATAATACACCAGGATGTTGTTGTTATTTAGTTGCTCTGTCGTGTCTGACTCTTTTGCAACCCCAGGGACTGTCGCCCACCAGGCTCCTCTGTCCATGGTATTTCCCAGACAGGAATACTGGAGTGGGTTGCCATTCCCTTCTCCAGGGGATCTTCCCGACCCAGGGATTAAACCCAGGTCTCTTTACCACAGGATTCTTTACCACTGAGCCATGAGGGAAGCCCAGTACACCAGGATACACCTAGAGAATTCTCACCCCAGTATCTCCGTCCGCTCGCTAAGTTGCTTCAGTCATGTCTGACTCTGTGCGACCCTCTAGAATGTAGCCTGCCAGGCTCCTCATTCCATGGGATTCTCCAGGCAAGAATACTGGAGTGGGTTGCCATTTCCTCCTCCAGGGGATCTTCCTGACCCAGGGATCAAACCTGAGTCTCTTACATCTCTTGCATTGGCAAGCAGGTTCTTTACCACTAGCACCACCTGCGAAGCCCCCTAGTATCTCCATTCCTCCCTATTCCAGCCACCATATGTAATCACCTACAGCAGCCTCCATGAACATGTGTCCTTCCAGTGTTCGTTAATGTAGATGTAATACAAGTGAATACTCTTGCTTTCCCCTCCCCAGAGAGAACTTTCTGGCATCTAGAACTAGTTTAGTCAAAAACTGAGGTCTGTATCTCAGGTATGACTCACCTGACTGACTTTCAGGCCCCTCACCTGGATGGGGTGACCACCTGTCACCCTGCGTGCTGTGAGGAAGGAGGCAGCCTAGGTAATGGCCAGCATACAGCAAGTGCTCAATAAGCGAGTGTTTAAAGGAGAAATGATCTGAGGTCAGGCTGCTCTCTATGCCCTTAAATTGGGCTCAGCCAGGCTTGTGGGCAAGTGGGTCGGAGAGAAGAGCTCTCTAAGTGAAGAGGGCGGGTGAGCGAGGGCACCGAGAAGTGGGGTGAGGCCAACACGAATGTAGAGCAAGTGGCACTTCTGAGGTCTGTGGGTTCTGGGAATCTCCCTGCCAGACATCCTGGTCCTGGGAACAGAAGTCAAGCCGGTGTTTCCCTGGCAGCTCGGGCCAGGCAGCGGCAGAGGCCAGCTCTAAAGCCCTATCTAAGGTACACAGCATTATCTGCATCTGCCCCACCCCTACCCCAGGGAGCCCAGGCCTCCCAGAGGGCCTGGCTCCCACTGCTTCGTTAATGTTTACCATCTCTGGAAAACAGTGGGCACGCACAGCACGGGCCGCCTTCCCACCCAGAAATGCACGCAGGGACTCCAAATGCCACATGCAGCAGATTGCCTCCGAGGGCCCCCCGAGGCCTTCACACAACCAAGCGGGCAATAGCCTCAAGTCCCCACACCCCCGGCTGGCAGCCCTGGAGCCTTCAAGCACAGTGGCGGACAGTGAGATGGATCACCCAGACCTCGCTGTCCAACCCACACATGGCGGGTACAAATCAAGATGTGCTGGAAGTGTAGAATGCATCTGGATTGCGAAGACTTAGCCTGAAAAATTAACACTATCTCAGTGAATTTTCATCTATTGATTACTGGTTGAAACGATAATATTTGAGGATATATTTGGGTCAATCAGCACGTGATAAATCACTTCAGTTGTGTCCGACTCTTTGTAACCCTATGGACTGTAGCCAGCCAGGCTCCTCTGTCCATAGGATTCTCCAGGCAAGAATACTGGAAGGGGTTGCCATGGCCTTCTCCAGAGGATCTTCCTGACCCAGGGGTCGAACTCACATCTCTTAAGCCTTCCTGCTTTGGCAGATGGGTTCTTTACCACTAGTACCATGTGGGAAGCCCTCAATCAGAACATATAAATTTATAAAATCTATTATTAAAATTCATCTTACCTCTTCACTTTACTTTTTTAATGTGGCTACTAGCAAATTTTAAAATACAGATGTGACTAACATAATTCTATTAAACAGCACTGATAAGAGTGTTATGGGAAATATATCTTGGAAGCTGTACCCCTTCCCTCCTGTCAGACCTGGGATAGGGTCCCACCACCTCCTCAGGTCCTCAGTGCCTGTCCTGCCTCCTGCCATCAGACTGCGGGTGCCCTGAGGACTGCATCCAGGTCTCTATTCTCTCCAAATTTCACCCCAGAGCCTAGCTGCCTAGCGGGCTGGGACAGAGGCGGGTGGGGGGAGGAGTGTGGTGGGGAGGTGGCAACGTGGGAGCCGGGAATTCACGCCCTCTGCCAAGTCAGTGAGGGCGTGGCCCAGGGAAGGCCACGCCCCCAGTCTTGTGGCCTGCCATAATCACAAGTTGCTCATTTCATTCAGTCGGTCTTAAGAGGAGGCATCATTTTCCCAAGACTTCAGATGCAGTCATTCAGCAAATTGTGGAACACACCCAGCTTAGAAATGGCTTGGAATGTTCACAAATGGCAAAATGTCATGAGGAACCCACAAATAAATGTAAGAGAGGTCATGGCACACGGTCTGTCTCCTTTCAGCCTCATTCCACCATTTTTAGATACTCATTTTAGAGCCCTTCCTAGAAGGGCTGTTCTTGGAATGAAAGATGCCCCCACATCCACTCTTTCCCAAACTCAGTACCCTAGCCCTTTATTCATTTCTCACCAAGTCTCCTCTCCAGGTCCTTACCCTCTGTGCACACTCCGCACACACTCACTGTCTAGCTCCACCTTCCCCTCCCCCGGCTGAACCCAGTTTCCCTTGTGTGCTGCACTCAGCAGGTCAGTCACCTCGCTCATTCTGGATATGATATGTCTATTAAGCCCGCCTGTAACTGCCTTTCTCGTCAGATCATTACACGTTACCACTGACACATCATGAGCTGTCAACAAGCCTCCAAGTCTTTTGTTCTAACTCCCTCTGTCACCTCCCAACTTAGACAGTTGGCCTTGGGGACCCCCAAAGCAGGACCTGGCAGATGCCATCTTCTGTCACTGATCCCTCACAGTCACCTGTTGTGGCCCTTCTGGGTCCTGGTTCCCTCACTGGTACTTCACGGCTCTTGTCAGTCCTAAGGTCAGTCCTCAGACTTCATCCCAGCCAACTTCTCAGTACCATTTGGCACAGTTGGTCACCTTCTTATCAAAACCTTTTTGTCACCTGATTTTCAAGCCACCACACTCTCCTGTTTTTCCTTCTACTCCCCTGGCCGCTCCTTCTTGGCCTCCGTCACTGGTTGTTTCCCAGCTCCCTAACTCTGTAATGTTGGAATTCCCCACAGCTAGTCTTTGAACCCCTTTTCATCCTTATCTTCACTCACTCCCCTGGTGATCTCATCCATACCAGAGGCTTTAAATATTATTTATAAACAGATGCCCCCAAATTTAAATCTCCAGCCCAGACCTCTCCTCTGAATCCCAGACCCACATGTCCATTTGTACATTGTCATCTCCACCCA